TCTGATTAAATAACTCCAATAAAAATTATTCCGATAATTCTGATTAAATAATTCTGATTAAATAATTCTGATTAAATAACTCTGATTAAATAATTCCAATAAAAATTATTCCCATAATTCTGATTAAATAACTGATTAAATAATTCCAATAAAAATTATTCCCATAATTCTGATTAAATAACTCTGATTAAATAATTCCAATAAAATAATTCCAGTAAAAATGATTCTGATCAAATAATCCCATCAAAACAATTTTGATTAAAAACAAATCATCAAAACTAATTCCAATGAAAATAATTCCATTGAAATTCAAAAAATAATTAGAAAAAAATATATCATTCCAATAAAAGAATTCCAAGAAAAGAATTCCAAGAAATTAATTCCAGTTAAGGAATTCCAAGAAAAGAATTCTAAAAATTATTCTGATAAAAGAATTCCAATTAAAAGATCCCAATAAAAAGAATCCCGATAAAAAGAATCCCAATAAAAATAATTAATCCCAATTAAAAATAAAAACAAACAAAAAGAAACAACCCTGGCCAAAGCAAACCCTCAAAGATTTAAATAAATTAAGTTGAATTAATTAAATTAAAATTAATTCAATAAATTAAAATAAAATTCAAATAAAACATCTTTAGATAAATTAAATTTAAATTAATTGAATTAAAATTAATTAACTTAAAATTAAAAAATAAAGTTAAAAGAAAATAATGAATTAAAATACATTCAAATGAATTAAATTGAATTAAATTAAAACAAAATAAAATGGGTTGCATGAAAATAAATTAAATTTAAATGAATTAAAATACATTTAAATAAATTAAATTAAAACAAAATAAAATGAATTAAATTACATGAAAATAAATTAAATAAAATAATAAAATAAATTAAAGCAAAATGAATTAAATTACATTAAAATAAAATAAAATTAAAATAAAATAAAATAAAATAAAATAAAATAAAATAAATGGAAATAAAATAAAATAAAATAAAAATAAAATAAATGGAAATAAAATAAAATAAAATAAATGGAAATAAAATATAATAAAATAAAATAAAATATAATAAAATAAAATAAATGAAAATAAAATAAAATGAAATATAATAAAATAAAATAAATGGAAATAAAATAAAATAAAATAAAATAAAATAAAATAAATAAAATAAAATCAATGCAAATAAAATAAAATAAAATAAAATAAAAAATAAATAAAATAAAATGAATGCAAATAAAATAAAATAAAATAAAATGAAAATAAAATGAAACAAAATAAAATAAAGTAAAATAAAATAAAAT